GTTGCTAAAATATACTTATATATTTACCAAACAATAAATAGAAATTGATGTCCAAATGAATAAAGTCTCAGGTATCCCCTTATTCCTGTCCTTAGGAATGTCAGAACAACTTACATACAAATAAATACTGCTTCTAACATTTTTAGAGTGATTGTAAAGTCTTGAAGGATTTAGAAACTAGTTGTTCCATGTAATTATATGAATTATTTTGGAAATCTAACCATATAACTCACATACTATTTTTCCTCACAGATACATGTAGAATCATCTTTCACTTGTGTAAGCAAATAAATTATAATCTTGACTATAGTATTGTTTGCAGCAATTTAATTTTTTCTGAACATAGTTCTTATTCTATTATAATGCTTGAATGATTCACATGCAATGTTTCCAATCCACTTTTCCTGGCTTGTGAAACTTTTTAACGAAATGTTAGCATTTGCAGACACCAGATGTTTTGACATAAGGAGAAGCAATATGTAAATTTTAATCCATGCTAGGAACAATAGCCTGCAGGCACCTTTTTCTTATTACATGAATCATATACTTAACCACAATGTGGTCGGTCCTATCAAAATCATCACCATCTAGAATGTTGTACACTTGTCTTATGGTTGCCAATTAATGCAACTGATACATATTTAATATGATAGGTGTCCATTACTTAAACAATAAGCTTTATTATATTTCATCCACCCCATAACTAGAATTTGCAGCTATAATAATAATAGTAACAATAACCTTTTACATGGACTTTAACATTCTTTTTGATGGTCATTAAAAACAATCTTTGTATTATATCTAAATGGCTTACAGCTGCCCATATCACTTATTCTAACAAGTATATTAAAACCTGTTACAGATTTCTTCATGTTTTCAATTTTTTAGACTCATCTTAGATTAAGATGTGTGTGTGTGTATGGTGTTTTCCTAATAGAAAATATTTGGGGATAGCTTCAAATGTTGCCTAGATATAGGTGCTAATAAGGACTAGCATAAAAATAACATATTTACATGTCAACTCCTTTCTAATGTCAAGAGATTAGAAAATTTTTTATAGGTTCCCACATGGGCACAGATGTATCTAAACCCAAATGTACCAAACACGTACATACATATGAAATCAAATATGAAATCCATTTGGTTATTCATTTTTTCAGTCTATATCGTATCAAAAATCATCCTGACTTATTTTTATCTATATTACACTAGTTATTACTTTTCATACAGATATTATAGTTATTATTTTTTGGCATTATAATGTGTTAAGAAAAATATCCATATAGTGCAATTTTCAAAAAGGAAACGAAATTACATATGAACATAGAGTATCATCTTTTATAGAAAACTCAGAGCTATCCTGTTTTATTATTTTTGAAGCAGGTATGTAGAAAAAATTCATAAACATGGTATTAAATATTAGAAAGTCAACATTTAACTGAAATTCTTATTAATTTCATTATCAAGGGATAGTTCTAGTCAATACCAATTAGCAGCTTTAAAGTGTTTTACATATTAAAATACAGTATTCTATTTGTCCTAGATTGTCTGGGGACTGTCTAGTATATTAAAAGATTTTGTAGAGTTTCTTAGTAATTTCACTGCTACAGTTATGCCTGTTAGCAATTTTGCTACATTTTGATAAATATTTTCCATAAATCAAAATCATAACAGCATGGAGAAACAGATGGCAGGAGACTATATTAAAGGATGTAACAATTATTTTCATTAATAGGGAAATATTGGATCATCATTTTCAGCATGGACTATCTAGTGAGCTGTTGTCAGTTTTGAAGACTAGTGACTGTTAAGTATCTTTTCAGATGATTAACCCACATTCTGTATTTTCCAGTGCCATCTGTATACAAAAGCGGAACAAAAAGTATATTAAGGAATTTAATAATTCTATGCTTTCACTTAATATATGCAGAGAGAATATTGGTACATCTTTTAAATGTATACAAAGATTCATGAATCTATTAGACTACACTAGTGTTCATTGTAATAGAAAATAAGACACATTACCTTGTTATTAAAAGTGAAAAATAGCAATGATTACAAATTTTACAGCTTTATTACACTAACAATGTTTTCTTGATCTAACCAATGTTAGATTAAAATTATGGGAATATTACTTTACCTATTCATGTATATATATGTAATGCTATTAAAGTCAAAGAATTTTAACTACATCATTACTATTAAGATTAAATAGCTGGATTAATTTTAGCTTTGTATGCCATAATCAACTGTAATGCTGTTAGATATAATCTTTGAATTTAGTTAGCTTTTAAAGTAGTCATCATTAAAAATAGCAAACATGTAACTCTTTGATTATATATAATTCTTTCAACAAAATAAGAATATCCCTTCTTTTGCATATTTTCTATTTTGTTATATATAACCACCAGCTTAAATAACATACAAATAAAATTTATTTCTGTGAATGAAGTAAAATTGAATCGAGAGAATTTTTAAAATGAATTGGGAGTGCATGAATGGGAGAGGTAGCATTGAAAACACGAGTCTTTAGTTTTATTCTTGAAGGCTACGGGTAAATGTCGGGACAGGGATCACAATTTACTGAGGATTTCATCAGTAGAAAACAAAATAGAGATAATTTTGGAATGTAGAAACACATATATAAATACTCTAAATGTGTTTAGTATTTATTAAGTAAATGTAATGAAATTCTGTATATGTAATTATACTAATTCAGGTTCACATTGTATACTTATCAAAATGCAGGGCACTGTAGGGGCAAATGTAATTCCACGTAGCATATACAGACTGTGCCATTATCAATACTGAAGCAAAATTCAATCCTTCAGTTGTTTTCAAGAAACCCAGATGGTTGATTTAGGGCTGATAACACACAAAATGATTAATTGATTCCAATTTTCACCTACATCTTAGATATAATAAGGTCAGTAAATAGCTTAGAAAGATAAAATTCTTGAAACACTTAGATATGCCATTTATTTATCAAAAATTCCACAATATCTGAAGAGCAAAATGGTATTTTCATGATAACTTATAAGTAAATTCCAAATACGACAATCTATCAAAGCAAAAGAAAAATATATTCTTTTTTATGTTGTAAAATCTAACTTCTCTCCTGACATAAAATTAAAGGAGCATATTAAATTGAGAAACTTGAGTCTATTTTTTTAAAATAAGAGCTATTAAATATTTTATTTATAATCATGTGAGTGGGAAAATGAGTTTGAAAAGGAGGGAGGTTGTTTCTTTTTGTCCCCTACTCATCTGGCTATTAATTAGAGCTTTTGTACCCAAACATTAAGAAAATTGAAGTCACTGATATTACCTCTGTAAGCTGAGAAAATATAGTCTATATATACGTGTGTACATATGTATGTATCATATTATTTTATCATATTTAAGAACATTTTTATTGCAACTATAATTATGCATTAATCCTTTGAATGAACAAACTTCAGTTAATTATGTAACAGTTCCATAATAGTTGATGTAGTTTGTGATAAACTTATTTGACAAACAGTATGCATCTTCTACTGTTAGGAGATGTCTTACTTCTGAAAATATGTTCTAAATATTCATCAATTCCCCCAAGGATGTCCCTTGATTCTTAAATACTTGAATAATTTGCTTTTGAGTTTATGCTATTTTTACTTTATTTTTATCATTAAGAATGCTATTGTCAGATGTTTACAATGTCAAATAATCATAGGCAAAGTCACCCATAAATATATAACACAAATATAAAACCAGAGACATATGTATTCCAGGATGCTTAAAAGGTGGTTACTTTATAAGAGAACAACTTCCTCAGTGAATAAGATAGTTTGGTACACTTTTACTTTCTTATGCAACTTCATCACTATAGGGTTGGGATAATGATATTCAGATGATTAGGGCTCCCTTCTCTGTAATTACATATCCTGTTAACCATGTACTTAGCTCTTGATAGACATATAGCAGCAATACTATCTATTAAAGTAACAGACCTGATGAGGGAATTATTCACGAAGAATCTAGAGAAACATTCAGAATGTTCCTAAAATCTCAAGATGAGGGCCTCCCCAGTGGCGCAGCAGGTTGAGCACAGTGCTGTGAAGCTGTCCGCAGCCTCTGCAGCACGGATTCGATTCCCGGCCGGCCAGGGAGATTCCCACATGGTTCAGCAGACCTCTCCTGTCGCGCCCACCGCTGCTCCCCTCAGCAGTGCTCTCGGTCCATCTGCCTGTTCTGCTCCCGGCTCTATCTCTGGTGAATCCTTCCGCGCCTCTGGCCTGTACCCCAGCTCTTATATAAATAAAAATAAATCTTTAAAAAAAACACCTCTTGATGCATGCAATTTTTTGTCTATACAAATTTTATTTTTCTGGGGAAAGAATCTACAGTTTTCCCTAGATTCTCAAGGCACTCATGCCTTAAAAAGTTAAGAATGACTGACTAGTCATTTTTTTAAATCTATCTCTTTAAAATTTGATTAGCCAATTAGCCTGATAGCTATTATAATCTGAAGGTAGCAGCAAATATTAGTACCCTTTCCAGATCTCTTCTATACAGACTCTATCATCCTGTGTAGAGCCCTTACTTTAGCTAAGATTTTGAGAAATGGTTTTCAGAGATGAGTAGCAGTATTTTAACTGAATAAAAATGATGACAGAGTAATGACATCATCAGTGTAAATCGCAGAATATGAATAAATAAGGATAATGGATAAAATGAGAACAGAAATTAGTTTCTCTCTAGATAATGTATTTCCCTGGACCCCAAAATACATTCCTCCTCTATGGTTTGTAATGTTGAATGAAATTATCATCTGTTATCAACTATAACTGAAATTATAGATAACAAAGTATTTTTTTTCATAAACTTAAAAATACATAGTATCTTCTTGAAAATTCTTGAGAAAGTGTATCTTATTGATTTTTTGCATAGCATATTTTAGATGAATTTATCTAACTTTATTAACTATTTCTATAAATTAAGAATGATTTTCTCCATGTTAAACAATGAAACATACTTTGATTCTCCAAACTCTGAGCTAAAGCTTTGGACTAAGCCTGAGATGAGTATCATTAGTGTTTAACATTTGCCTATTTTTATCAATATATTAGAAGATTTCATGATGACAATTTCCATATGAGCATTACCTAAAATGTCTTTTCAAAAATGCCCCCTAAAGGGCCTCCCTGGTGGTGGAAGGGGTTAGGACGAAGCCTATGGGGCTGTTTGCGGCCACTGTAGCATGGGTTCGATCCCTGGCCAGGGGGCTGCCCACATGGAGCAGCAGACCTCTCCTGACTCACCCCCTACTCCCCTCAGCAGTGTATTTCAGTTAGTCTGCCTGTCCTGCTCCCTGCTCTGTCTCTGGTGAATCCTCTCACCGCCCCCACACCTCTGGCCTCTACCTCAGTTCTTGTATGAATAAGTAAATCCTTTTTAAAAAGGCCCCCTAAAGTTAATATAACCAAACGATTGTATCTCAGTCATATTTAAAATTTTAGGCTTATTTTGCCTAATAAAAAGTTATAATTCTACATATTTCTCAGTAGCTTTGAAGAGCTTCCATAGCCTGTTGCCAATATTATTTTCCAGAAATCTTAACTAGCATCTTCTAGGATAGCTAGATCTTTCTAATGAATGTCAAATGAGGACAAATCCCCAACTTACTCTCACTTTTATCATTTAGTTGATATCATTCCCCTATCTTCCTTCCCTTTCAGCCAAATTATAATATTTCTGAGTCTCCAATCTTATTTCTCTGAACTTCTGTTATTTGTAGATTTTAATTCTACATGTAGATATTAATTCTCTATGTCTTCTATCTTGTTTTTTTCTCATATAGTCTTGTTAACTAACTGAGGGGTAAGACCATCTCTTGCTCATCTTTTCTACATTTTCATAGGACCCACTGCAATTTTGACTCTCTGTCCCTGAATATTCATGAATCAGATGATCACTTGTAGAGTTCCAGAACAGAGCAACATGCTTGGTAAGTCATTTCCCAATCCTAAAACAAACTAAAGAGAGAAAAATTTGAGTAAATCATCATACATATAAATATGCATAATAAATGGTAACAAAGCTAGCAAAAATCACTGGGTACCTTAAGTTGCTTATGAGAACAGAACTGTACCAAACACTAAGCTAAATGTAATATAAGTTCCTGTTTTACTAATTAATTTTTCAGTTCATTATTTTGTCTATTTGGTATAAAATTATATCATGAATGAATTGATCTCCAACTTTGGAGACAGTGATAAACTTTAATGTCTGACAAAGTGTTTTATTGGGGGGCTTTTCCTGTTTGATTTACTGAAGTTCATTATTCAATATTTATTTTTGATGAAGAAAGGAGGGTTTGGGATGTAATTTCTGATGTTGATTAGAAAATCAGAAGGTTGAAACAAAGATTAAAAAAAAAAATGTCTGCATGTGTGCCTGTGCATGGGTATAAGTTTGTGTGAAGAGATAAAATTCTAGCCTATAGTTTTGAAGGTGATATCCAGAGTGTTCCTTAATTTGCAATGTTAATCTTTTGGGGTTTTTTTGTCTAAACAGAGTATGTCTCTGTAAATAAACAAAAATGCTTTGAGAATTAGTGTAATTAGACTGAGAAAAGGAACCAGGGTCTAACTTTGGAAACCAAAGTTTTATAAATTTTCTGATTTTATTGTTATGAATTCTGATATTTATTATAGATTCATTTTCAAATTACAAGTGACAGCTAATCTATCTTTTCATAATTTCCCTTATAAGTCTTGAACTTTAGCCATGTCTACCAGACTGGATAAAGGCAATGAACCACCAGATCTGTTGTTCTTGATTCTGGAAAATGAAAATTGTAAGAGTTAAATAAGAAGGAGATTTAAGTGAAAAACTAAGAAAAGATCTATATATTTCCATAGGTTCACTCTTTTCAGTTTGTTATTCCAGTAGCACATCAGGAAATTACTACTTTTAATACATCAATAGAGAGCTATTGTTTATGTTGTACCTCTTTCCAGGAAAACAAAATTTAAGTAGATTTGGATTCTGTCAAAGAGGGAAAAAAAATCTCTTTCAGCTCTTAATAATTCTTCAACACTATGCTTCTTCTTCCTGTGAATTCTTCTGTTGTTTTTGTTTAATCAGTTTGTTCATGAATATATTCCTTTAAGAATTAAGTCAAAGCAATATATGAAACACAGACCATAACTGCATAGCACCAGCCTGGAATTGCATCCCTGTTGATTAATTGAGCCTGTTCATTTTTTATAATTCATCACCATCATCTGAGCTGAAACTACTTCTCCTACTGCTCTCTTTAGAAACTGCAGGAGAAGTGGCAGAAAGCAGAGGATCTGTTCCAAAAGGAGATATTGTGTCATCCAGTAGAATGTCATCCAATCTCTGTTCCTCTTTCAAAGCAGCACTAAATGATAAATCTGTGAAGTGTGACAAAGGATCGGAGAAGGCCATCGCTTGATCACAGAGCTCAGGGCTTGTCCCCTGAGACAGAGTCAATTGCTGGCAATAATCCACTGAATTCTGCTCAAGAAGGGTCTGTTGTTTGGTGACATGAGCACCTAAATCAACTGAGCCAAGTGAAGCCAGAGTTGGCAGACCATGAGCACGAGCCTGTATTTCTAGTTCCTGCAATTTCAAATGAGAATAATTAAATAATGACACTGAAAGTGGACATAATTGTAGAAAATAAATCAAAACTAAAACCAAAATATTAATAGCATTCAAATTGAATAACCCAAATAACAATTATTCTCCATAAATAATGGAATCAGAAATATTGCTAGTACCTAAAAAATAACTCAGAGATTAAAAAAAATTAAAAACACTCCTATTGTTCTTTAAAGGAATTTATAACAAATGATGGTCCATCATGACTCATACTACAATATAGTCATTTGGAGATAGTGGAAAATTTTCCATTTATTTTTCATGATTAATTTCCCACTATGGGACCATTTCATGGAAACAGACTGAATGCATTACCTGGCAATAAACATGCTCACATAAAACAAACTTGAGTTATGAAAACCCATATTTTGATATTTTCTGTCACATGAACAGATGGGGAGTGACTTAATATAAATTGGCACAATATGCCTTGAGGCAATGAAATCCATAGCAATGATACTAAAGAAAAAGCGGGGAGAGGAGAATTTAGTGTTCAATATATAGAGAAACATATGTTCTACTTATTATTGTTTTTCAGCTCAGATAATATTGTGTGTATTTATAAAGTTAGTTCAGTTTTCTGCATTTTACAATTAGTTGTTAATGCATTTCATATGCATTTTTTAAAATCATCTTGATTGTGGATTTCTAATAAGAACCTAATGATGCCACCCAATTCATGAATTTCTAAAAGTTAACAAAATTCTTTGGAAGAAAAATAGTTGTGAAGAAAAAAAAGTAAATTAGATTAATGAACAGACATGATGATGGGTAAGCCATATGCAAGCTTTGTAGTTTATAGCAACATTCGTAGAAAAACCTGAATCCGGAGTAGAAGACGCTTGTTAGCCTGCTCTAATCTCTTCTGTCTGTGTTCTAATTCCCGGGCTCTCTGTTGTTCTTTTTGGAGCCACTTGATGTACTCCACTGATGCTTTTAGAATGGTTCCTTTGTTCCAGCGCATATCACTGTAGAACGGAGAGATAACCTTTTCACAATTGTGCATGTCAGCAGAATTCATAAGAACTTACAAAATCTTTTACATTAATATAAAATAATGATTTACATGACTATTATTCACTCTTAGATATTATTGCTTCTGAATAGAAATTTTAATAGAATAGTTAAGAAGCCCTTATATAGTAAAATTAATCCCAGAATGAAAATAAGTGTCAAAAGAAAGTAATAAAGTGACTTTTTGTGGGAGAGCTAAATGCAATATCATGATTCTACCATTACAGTTTTTATATTTTTAGTGAAAATTGCTTTTATTATTAACTCTGAGATTAAAATCTATGTGCGGTATTTCTGCATTAATGAACTAGGAAATGTACATTACTGAAGACTTAAGCCTAAATTTTTTAAGATCATTTCAAATGTACCAATCTTTTAACCTACATTCTAATAAGGTTGCTTTTATAAAAAAAAATGTAGTTCTTCCTGAATGGTGATCCTGAGTGATTGTGAAACAAATCAAGAGTTTGGCAACATCAATTTATGCAATAGGACAAGACTTTCTAGAACCATTTAGTAATTTTTTTGCACAAAACCATTAATATTTTTTAAAAGCATGGATACATATTTTAATAAGCTTACAATAGACAAATGTAGTTAAATATTACCAGATAACATTTCAAGACTACTGCATAAAAAAACACCTTGTTAAAATTTATATTTAAGACAGGGGACATGATAAATCTGGAACTATAGAATAAGCTGTTGATTTTAATATCTGAAAACATACATTAATGAATTTAGTACTAAATGAGAATTGACAACATGTGGAGAATGAAGCCAAACTAATTACTAAAAGTTAATCAGAGCTATTGCAAAACATTAATAAATTTTCAAATTTGAGTCAGGAATTTTTTAATACTGCATAAAAAGGAAATTTAAAAGATATTGCATTACATATATTATTAGTTTACATGATTTTGTGAAATATACTAAGCTTCATATAGACTTATATTTATTAAGTGATCAGAAGTGTGAAAAGGTGTTTAACAAATGACTTGCATATGCCTTCTTGGAAGGCCAGGTTAGATGAGAATTTCATTAGCTGTAAGGAGATACGTTTTTCTACCAGCAGGGGAAAATGCTGATTAGGATAAGCTGTCTTCTACAGGAATGTACCAAATCATTGTCAGTGTCTGCCTCAAGTTTGAAAAAGCTTTATCAGTTCTCTAGGGCCATAATAGCTCATGGCCTTCATCCACTCATAGTGTCTTATCTGCTGTTGGGAGACTATGGAGAAAGAGACTACAGTTATCATTAAACCTAGGAAGTATCGGTAACTAAAAAAGGTAGTGACCTCTTAATTAAAACTCTAAACGGTAGCAGGAGCCTTGTGGCCCTAATTTGTTTAATTTCTTTGGGGAAGAAAACTTGAAGGATAAAGGAATCAAAGGAAAAGAGTAACTGTAGTCAACTTGGAAGTTTAAGATTTTGTTCATTCAGATCTAAAAAACTTTTTTTTTAAATAGAGGCATGTTTTATTTATTTATTTGTTCGTTTGTTTATACATGCACTGGGTACAGTCAGAAGCATGGGAGGGTGAGAGAATTCACCAGAGCCAGAACGGGGAGCAGAGCTGGCAGAAGGACCGAAGTACACTGCTGAGGGGAGCAGCGGGCGGCAGGAGAGGTCTGCGCGCCATGTGGGACCCTCCTCCAGTGGCCGGGGAGCAGCCGGGGATCAAAATGGAGCTGCAGAGGCTGCAGGCAGCTTCGCAACCCAGCGCTCAACCGCTGCGCCACTGGGGAGGCCTTCATTCAGATCTAAAATAAACCTTTAAAGAGGTGGCAGAGAATACATGGCAGTCTCCTTTAATTGCAACTTGACATCATTTGCACTGACATGTTAAAAGTTAATTTTAATATATAATATTTATTTTAAAAATATTTTGTTTTCTAATTTCTCAAGGAAATGTTTTTCTGTCCCAAGATAATTTCAAGCAGCTAGACACTAAAAATATTATAACACTAACACATTATTAAAAGCATGCTTAAAGAATTAATGTTGATGCTAGCTTTTCATTTTCTACAAAATAATTTTCTCTAAGAAACTTAAAACTTTTGGGGAGCTAAAAGCTTAAATGCATTTGAGGCTAAAGTAGCTAAGAGATATGTGTAAATTAAAGTAGGAGTGCCAGCAGGCTGAACTTTGGAAAATGCCCACTCTGTTGCCATCTTAGGAGTATGTATGCATGAAAACTTTAGAAAAATAAAAAAGAAAGCTAACACCATAAGAAGTTCCTAAGTTATAAACCAATACCCAAGTTTATTCTAATCATGAGCTGAAAAGATCAAATATCATCAGAGATCAACCACTTCGCAGTTTCTGCTATACCCCAGAACAGACAGTGCTTAGAAGGTAAAACACCATGTCTCCTCCATCAGTTCAGTGCTCTTCCTACAAATATGTGGATTTTACATGTTTTCAAATACATCTTCCATTGGAAAAATGTTTTCTATTTTGACCAAGGGTACTTCTCAGTAAAATTCATTTTAAGCGGTTACATTATGGATTCCACCAGAGGGACATTAGTGTAACAGGTGAGGTCACAGTAAGCCAAGGGATAAAATTTATTTCAACAGAATTAGTATTGAGATGTCTGGAATCCTGCAGTTGGCAGTGAAGTGTCTTTTTTGTCTGTGCTATATGGACACATCTGATTATGATATATGCAACATCTGATTAATTTTTGTGTTTCAGTTTGAACCAAATAAATGTAATTAATCTACATATTACATAACAGAATTACAAAAAATAAAAAATAATAACCAACCTTGTTGGGGTCCATACAGAACTGACAGATACTTAAGAATACTTGCAATGAAGGTTTTTAAGTAATGTTCACTTTCAAATATGGTTCTGTTATAAATTGATTTACCATATTACAAATCAGGGATGGCAAAACTACATCACACAGCCTGTTTTTATCAATTAAGTTTCATGAACATAGTCATGCATATATATATATATATATCCCACAAAACTTGACATATTTGCTATCTGGCCCTTTCCAAAAAGTTTACCATCTTTTCTATTCTCAATGATGAACTGGAACAAGAAAGGAGCCCTTTTATAACAAAAGTATTCATAAATATGTAAGGTAATAATCTCTCACATAAGCTTTATAATTTGTTTTTTTTTAAGATTTATTTATTTATACAAGCACTGGGTACAGTCAGAAGCGCGGGAGGGGAGGGTGAGAGAATTCACCAGAGCCAGACAGGGAAAAGAACAGGCAGACTGATGAAATACACTGCTGAGGGGAGCAGTGGGGGTGGCAGGAGAAGTCTGTCGTTCCATGTGGGACCCTCACCGGCGGCCAGGGATAGAACCGGCACTGCAGAGGCTGCGGGCAGCTTCACAGCCCAGTGCTCAACTGCTATGCCACCAGGGGAGGCCCAGCTTTATAATTTGTAAAATATTTTCATACACATTATTTGATTGTAATTTTATAATAACCCAGTTATATAACTGGTTGTCATATAAATGGTGACATCTGAAGATGTTCAATTAAGCTTCAGAGTCCAATCTTATATGCCCTGGGCACTATGGATTAGCTCTACCATTTACAAGAGAAGCTCTTTTAATTGACCTTTACCTAATCACTTTCAGGATTAATTAATGTTCTTCATTCCCTTTGTAACACCCACTGATTGTTGTCAGAACAAAGTAGATATTAGAAGCTATTAGGCTACCTTTTGATAACACCCAGTTACTTCTATTATCCTTGTGGCAACATGTGTTTACTTAAAGCCTATTAAGTTAATGCCCATAGTACTTATTATTATGATAATATAATTAAATAATATGCACATTAGCTAATGAAATGTGAATGTAAAAATAGAAGGAACATTTATAAACATAGGTTATTGTTTTTAGGAAAATTATGTTAAAAGCTTTGAAAAACTGAATTTAAATGTCAGTGAAGATAAACTCCATAAAAAATGCTGCAATGAATCAGGGTAAAAACATTTTGAAAAATCCATCTATACTATGCCATCTAAGTCTTGTGTTATTTTGAAGAAATTAAAATAGATTACATATTTTAATGCAGCTGATGCATGAAAAAAAATCAAAACACATATTCAAACAATAAAACATTTGGTGAATCAATATACATTTATATTTTTAAGCATTAAAATTTCTGACAAGAAAACGAGTATTTTTTTCCTCTTTAAAAAAGTTGCAAAAAATTTGAAGAAGTATTGGTAGGGTCTATACTGAGCTCTGAGACTCTGCTCCAGGGCTCATTTTTGTTATTCTTCTAGAGATGAGTTCACTACACAGTATGCCCATGAGGATAAACATCACCATTCCCTTTAATTATAAATTATTAAATTGTTTAAGTAAATTGGCACATTTGGATTTAGGAAAGAAGTTTCACAAATATCACTTTGTCAAATATCATGGTTGAGTAATAATGGATGTCTGACAGTATTTGGAGAGGGAAGTTCTCAATTTGAATGAAACGCTTTTAAGTCATCAATACTGTTGACCACATTTTTTTAATGTTTTTGATGAAACACTCAATATTGTAAAGTGATATTTTGGTTAATAAATGTTTTCTTGAGACACAATCTCAGACATCTGGTTTTTATTGACTTTTTGTGTATATGACATCAAAACCTGACCAAATTTTATTACACTGATCCATTGTTGGTTGGAATCAATCAGTATATTTTTATGATTTCATTTCTTACTTGCATGTCTCCAGAATTTTAGAACCTATCAAAATGTAACAATTTCCTTTTCATGTATACATAAATCTTAAGTTGGGAGAATTGCTGTAAACATAAATAAACTAGTCAGTATCATAGATAGCACTTGACATTATCACTAAATTTACCAGTATTGGTGACATACAGAAGGACCACTATGAACAGAGAAGAAATAATTTACTTACAAATTATTATAATTTGAACTGAAATTCAAAAGATTAACTATTGCTAATAACCTTGATGCTTGGTAATATCAGCCTTGAAGAGATATAGAAAAAGAACCAGCAGTAGCTTTATCTTTGCCATTAACTGCTTAGTTCTCTTCTTCCCTCCCAACCCTTTTGGGGGTTAACCATAACATTATTACAGAACTGATTGTTGAACTCACGGATCATTAGACTTTGGAATAAGGGTGCCAAGCTCCTTGATTCGGTAATTAATATTATACCTTCTTCTTCTTTCAACTATTAAAAAAGAAACATTATTATTTTCATTAAAGCACAATTCACTTTGGTCAGTTGTAAACCTTCTTAATATCCTTTAAACAACAATGAGCAAAAGATTTTCATTTCGTCGAAACAGTACTACTCTACGGTGAAATAAAAATTCCAATATTTTATAAAAGTGAAAATAACATTAGAATTTTGATTCTATTACAATGTTTTAAAAGTTTGTCTCAAAAACACTTTTTTCTTTCTTTGAGCTGCTATATATTTATTCATACTGAAATATATGTATACATTTTAAATATACTTCAAATAGGGGATAGGTATATTTGTATATTCATTTATCTCTGATTTGATCATTAGTCCACATGATTTTATTTTGTGAGTCTATGAGTACTGTAATTTTTTTTAGTTCTGCACTAAACTTGACTCTTCTCATAGACTCCCTTGAAGCCCTAACACAAAGTTTGGCACATCTTAGATAAACATGCCAAGCCAGACTTGACGTCCTTCAGGGCAGGGGCATTTTCTTACTATTTTTGTATCCCTGGAGGGTTTGCTATATAGAATGTGTTAAATAAATGTATATGGTTAGATTGTATGGTTAGAAATTTTTCTAATTTAAAATTTCAATAATAAGGTAGTAGTTTCAAACTTTGTGGCACATTAGATTTTCTTGGAAGGATTTTTAAAATAGATCTGTACCCCAATACAAAAAGATTCTGAATTTAGTAGGTTTGCATTGAAGCCCAAGAACTTGCATTTCTAACAAATTCTTTTGAAGGTTCTGATGCTGCCTCTCCAGAGCTCATAATTTGAGAACTACTGATACAGGCTGTGGGTTGGCATTTCCACTTCGTGACATTCCCACTCAGAACTCTAAGGACCTGAAATTTTAAATTCATATCTGGCCTTCCAGTGTTTAGGGAAGATAGAACATACTTAATTTGGCACTATCGCAAGTTATAAATTATAACTTAATTTAGCACTTTCTCCAGTCTAGTAAATGGGACTTCCTTTGCCTCCCTGCCACGATCCTGACAAATGTGGGGGGTTGTGCTACATTCATTCTATTTAAAATTTGTAGTATTATTATTCTTAACATTGCTATCTCTAAAAAAGCAAAATCATTAAGCAAAGGAATCCAAATTAAAAAAACACTTTGATGGTGGACATATCAGAGCCCTATCATGCTCTGCATTGAATTACTTGTTTAAGCTGTAAACATAGAGGAAGGAAGAAAGGAGCAGACAATGACAGTTAATAGGTTTAAAACTGAGAAAGAAACCCATGGTTCCATGACATATTAATGCCTCTATCAATGATTAGCTCCCCTACTCATGTTCTATGTGGCTCATACTCTGGACCAAAGTTGATCTACTCTACCACTAAGGCTATGGGAATCAGATCATTTCCCTTTCCACTCTTAACCAAGGACTAACTCTTTTCTCACGCCATGTAGGCAGCAAATGTTGACTACCCTGCAATGTATACCGATGCATAAAGAACAGACAAAGACATCACACATACACATAAAAGTTACCTGTAAGTAAATTACTGGTTTGTCTAAAGGTTTAAAGTTTTTATTTTTAAATTCTATTTCACTCATTTCTCATTTTTTGATTTGGCTCCCAGGATAAAAAGGCTTCACACTCAGTTAGTCAAATTCACTTGAGACAAGTCCAAGCATTCTCATGCTCAAGTTAGCCACTAAATTTCTCTTACCTTCACTTCTCCATCTCATGTGACCTATTATCAGAGTTGAATTGATTCCCGGGAAGACATTGTTTTTTTTTTCCCCCCAGAGGTGGAATTCAGCAATGCAACACTACCAGTGTCTTTCAGATAATTTGTCATTAGGAAGTGAGGAGCCGATGATACAGAAAGATGAGAATCTAGAGTTATGTTTCTTGCTATTTAAATGGTGTACATTTTCTAATGTTATCTTCATCTCCTTTGAGTCAATGAGTCACAACAGAGTTCAAATGACTCACTTCAGTCATATGCAGCCTTCTTGGGAGACAATGACCAAGGAGAGAATTTGAGATGTTTTGCTTCCTAAAAATATGCAGCTTTTCTGAGATTGTTTAAATTTCCCTACATAGCATTTCAATTTTTGTCACTCATCTCAAAATACTTATGAAGTGATAATATATGACCATACATTTTAACCTTTTTGTATTAATTAATTTTTTTAGGAAGAAAAGGAAAATATACTCACTGAGGTTGTGGTTGTCCTTCTTTTGTCTCTCTTTTGCCAAAGCTCGAGTATCTGTTTCTGATCAAAAGGAAGATAATTGATACCTTAGAGCCAGTCAATATAAATCAGAAATACCAGATGAAAACACAGTATTAGTTGTTCCAAGTTATATGATACATTTATGCAAATATTTAGAAATTTGGAGCACAACATCCTTTATTAAGAGACAGTGGCAAAAACTTTAGTCTACGGGGCACAAAAGTCTAGATTTGTATTCTGGCCCTCCATTTATTAGCCATGTAAATATTATCTATCAAAAGATTTTCTGTTTCAATAGCTCCTCATCTGTATAACTGTTATAACACATATCTGATGATTAAAAGAGGTATAGTACACAGCTAAAATTAAAACATTTAATCATGGCTATTATTTTCAGAATTATAAAAATTATTCAAACCTAAATTTTTATAACATACATTTTTATAAATTATGAACTCTTACACATATCAAGAGTTGAAACTACCTTTCTCACATTATTCTATCAAATAACTGCACACTTCTTATAAATGAAGGTCTCCCTGGTGGCACAGCAGTTGAGCGCTGGGCTGCGAAGCTGCCCGCAGTGTCTGCAGCACCGGTTCGATCCCAGGAGTGCCCGATGCTCCCCTCAGGAGTGGGGACTTCATCAGTCTGCCTGTTCTGCTCTCTGCTCTGGCTCTGGTGAATTCTCTCACCCTCCTGAGCTTGTGACTGTACCCAGTGCTTGTATAAATATGTAAATAAATCTTTGGGGGGGAAAAATGATACAGCACTCTATTTGCTTTGTGGTTGTGGTTGTCAGCCTCCGAAATGGCCCATGATTATTTTACTTATGATGCTCACACCTTTGTAATTCCCTCTCACATGGAATAGAGACTGATTCTGAAACTGATAGAATATTGTGGAACTGACTAGAGTGGCTTTGATGGCTGGGTCATAAAAGTCTTCCAGTTTTCACTTGGTGTTTTGGGTCACCAGTTGTCACACCGTAAGTACACTTGAGCAGGCTATGGGGAGTTACCAAAGTCACTTGCCAACAAACACCACTGACATGCAAAGCCTGTAAGTGAAAACACATCCTCTAGTCTGTCAAGTCTCAGAGTTCTATATCTCTGGCCAACATGTTGACTGTAACCTCATGAAAGATTTTAAGCCAAAATCAATTTTCTAAGCCATCTATGGTTTTCTGGCCATAAAGACTGTATGAGATAGGGCCTCCCTGGTGGCACAGGCAGTTGACTGCAGCGCTGTGAAAATGTCCACAGCCTTTGCAGCGCCGGTTCGATCCCTGCCGGCCCGGAGCAACCCACAGGGCAAGCAGACCTCTCCTGTCTCACCCGCTGCTGACCTTAGCAGTGTGTTTCGTCAGTCTGCCTGTTCTGTTCCCGGCTCTGTCTCTGGCGAATCCTCTCACCCTCCCACACATCTGGCCTGTACCCTGGTTTTTGTATAAATAAAATAAATCTTAAAAAAATAAAAATAAAATAAAAACATTGTTTGAGATAAGTACTTATGATTTCAAGCTCTTAAGTTTGGGAGTAATTTGCCTGATAGTAAGAGATAGTGTATAGTGTGCCTTGGATAATTCCAATTTTAAAACTAAATAATATAGGAATGCATTTATTTAAAATTATGTAGTGGGCCTCCCCGGTGGCGCAGCGGTTGGGATCTGGGTTGCGAAGCTGCCCGTGGCCTCTGCGGTGCTGGTTCGATCCCCGGCTGCTCCCCGGCCACCGGAGGAGGGTCCCACATGGCGCGCAGACCTCTCCTGCTGCCTGCTGCTCCCCTCAGCAGTGTACTTCGGTCCTTCTGCCTGTTCTGCTCCCCGCTCTGGCTCTGGTGAATTCTCTCACCCTCCCGCGCTTCTGACTGTACCCAGTGCATGTATAAACAAACAAACAAACAAATAAATGAATAAAATACATGCCTCTTAAAAAAAAAAAAAAGAAAAAAAAAGAATTTAAAATTATGTAGTTAAAACTATATTCATTAATTTCAGTCTAAATAATCTGAATGCATTTTTAATTATAGAGTTGACATCAAAATTGACATACTGTCTTTACGAAAAATGTTAACATTGTGTAAAAATGATTAAAGACCAACATTTGGACTCCAAACTAAAAACTTATAGAAATTTCAACTGAATTTTACTTTATTCTTATGAGAGAACTAATACTGAACTTGTAAGTCAGGAAACCCTTATTTGATTCACTTTTGCCTCTGATCACCTATATCACACTGGGAAAATAACTCCTCCAACCCTGGACTTTCTCACTTATATATCCAGAAGAAATTGACGGTGTCACCACAATTTGTTTGAGTTGTAATAATTTTGAAATGTATTACTGAAAATTTAGGGGGTTTTACTTATTTGAGAAAGTTAAATGTAAGTTTATTATGAAATGAATAAAACCTAAAAAGGAAAAATATAATTGCTTCACTTTCTATCAAAATCTATACCCAATAAGACTAATTTTCCTTTAACTACTAATACATTACTTCTTAATCATGTTAATATATTGTGACTATTTAATATCAAAATGAACCTATATTAAATGAAGAACTTTGTCAAGTTCTCATATATATGTGTGTGAAGCATATACACATATTTTACAATTTCTAAAATAATGAGCCAATTCAGTTGAAGCGTAAGTTATAGCTTATTTTTTGGTTATCATATGAAAATGATTGATTGACTCTAAATGTCTCTCATTTTAACTATTTTGATAATATTTAGAAATTCTACTTAGCTTGATAATATATTATGATACATATCTTATATAATTGATTATAAAAAGTATAAAATTATAAAAGCAACGTTACCTGCAATTTCTCTTTTCATTGGTAGACTACTTGGACAAGAAGCACTTGTAAGTCCCATATTAACTGGTGAAATTCCCTGGTCACCACTATACACATCCAAAATACTTCCAGATAACTTCAGAGAATAAGGGAAGAAAAGATCAATCAAACATCCCATGGTATTGATATATTTAGTTGTTTATGTTAAGATCTCTATTCTAAATTTGCCACTTTATTCATAATATTTCATAATATATAACATTTTAATTTTAAATAACAGATGCATTTTCATTGACTTAAAAATAATTATGTAATTAATGCTTGTGGACAACATATATTGAAAAAAATTCTTTGTATTTAGCAAAAAGAGAAATTATTTCCCTCATGAAAGTACATTCTGATTGGTATTTACAAAGTTATAGAGTTTGATTTCAGTACATGTCCTTGTTATAAGTGAATAAGATTGAAAATATTATTTTGGACAAAATTAATAAATGTCTTAGCAAAGCTGAAAATTTTATTACATGCATAAATTAGATATAATGGTTGAACATTTTGGAAGCTTTTATACCCTTAGTACTATCAGCAACTCATAGTCAAAAGTGTTTTACACCTTTAAGTGAGAAACTTTCTTTCTTTCCTGGAAGGTATACTTTTTCTTATTGTATACTTAATGTTCTAGAGTATTATAAATATCTCAGCTGGTAACCAAAAGTAGTCTAAAACTACTTTTACCTCTAGTGGATATAGGGTTATCTAATTATAGCAAATTACAATTCTTAGTGATTCTTAGGCACATTTTTTTAGAAAGCTAAGATGCTTAAAACATGATCCAAAATTGTACTAATTTATTATTTAAAATGTACTTATTGATTTGATTTCCCAAGAACATTAAATTTAAATAAAATTCATAATTCAAGCTAATATTCAGTTTTCCAGAACAAGCTACATTTAAAATATTTCCATCTGAGTATTTCTATTTCATGTCCAGGGAGTAAACTAAGAATATTACTTTATTAAATATTTTTTATTCTTCCCTTAAGAATAAAAACAATACAAGTAATCAGAAAAGCTGCAACCTGATTTCTAACTTCTTATTCCCATGTTTTTTTTAAAATTCCAATGCAAACTAAGGGATTTTTTTTTTATATTTATACACTAAAGTTGAAATAATTTTGAAAAAAAGGACATAGGTACTCTAACATTAATTTTGTCATGATATTCCACTAAGCTATATGTAACCAATACTGTTTAATTCTCAGGGAAAGAAATTTTGAAAATACAGTGGAAATTAGGTTAGTATATAGGTTTATGGCATATCAATGACATTATAAACTATATACGGTATTCTGATGCACATTTTCTTATATTGGCTTTTTTGTTAGTTACTCTGTTAGGACTCCATCTTTATTTTATATACAATCATGGCCTTTAAATATATTTTTGCTCCACGGATCTTACAGGGGAACTACTTAAATTGGTTATATTTTCTTTTTCAATTTGTTTATCTAAAAAAATAGGAACAAAGATGATCAAATTGAAGAATGTTAGTATCAAAACAATACAATTAAAAAATCCTAGAAGCAGTTAATTTCCTATCAAGTGACTTAATCCTATTAGTAAAAGTAAAATATGTCCAAGATATTTTTTTGAAAACCCTGTTGGTTATAAGTGGAGGCATCACCAACCTGAATTGTACATTTCCACTGTGCTTTAGAGAAACATAACTGATGTGCTGAACAAAAAGATGGGGAGAGAGGGGGAAGGAACAAGGGAAAGGGCACTTTTCTCTGTAGAGCGTGAATTCAGAGGAATTTCGATGCAGCAGTGACAAATTTCAGAAATGTTTCAGAAGAAAAGAAGCTATATTACATATATACTGCAACAATAAAAGATAGGTCCCCAACTAAAGCATTTTTCTGGGTCTGTATTACCTAACCCAACTGTACCCAATGCATTTTATTTTTCTTGAAATGGGACTTGAATTCTGATAGTGAATCTAATCCTGCTCAACTACAGAGATAGTCTCTTCTCCGGACCTTGATTATTGTTTAATTCATGTCCTACGGCACAATGATTAATATCCTGTTTAATTTTATGCTGTAGGTACTACTCTATTTCATATAAATGGCTAATCACTTTTTAAATATCATTATACAATTGGTTTCAATTTCAAAGTATGTAATACACTTCATGTAATCTAAAGTGTCTTTTCTCCACTAGAAGATATATCTACAATGTTGGTGAAAATTAAAGGGTTTACAAAGCAAAATTATATCTGCTCTGTCAAAAGTGTAAGTTACTTAGCTTTGGTTAGTCTTAGCTTTGGTTTCTAGATTAGTAGGCAACTAGAGAGATATTTTAAGAAGCAACATTTATAATTCTGGTTGAAAGCCAGATTTTTTTTTTTTTTTTTTTACTACGAAGAAATTTACTTCTTAAACAATTTTTAGATCTTTTAAATTTTACACTCTTTTTGGTCTTTTAAGTGTTTAAATAATGTTGAATTATAATTAGTCACACAAATAAATGTTTTTGTTTTTTTTTTTTCTGGCTCACTTCACATTGGCCTGATAGGGTATATATACCTATTATACAGCCTTTGTTAAGCAAAATCTTTGACATGGTAGTAAGCAAGCATATTATTATTAACGTATTTAAAATTTTTAAGCATACTTTTAATCACAACTTTTAAAGACATATAATAAAAAATTATTGCAAAATCTTTTCAATAAAGTAGAACTTTCTCCTCAAGACAGTACTTCTTTCTGGTAGAAAATGTGACCTCCTGATATGAGAAGTTGCTCAGAGAATTGGAGTGACTGACAGTGGTTCCTGGTGTCTCAGGTTCTCCACCGTGGATTGTAGTCACATCTCTATTACTGAGATCATGGGGAATGAAGTGGACCAGGATCCAACCTTCTCACATACATACTGCCTTTCAAAGTACCCAATATCTCCTGAGGAAGATGAACTCATCGGTCAAAATATGAAAACATTTGAGGAAATTGACTGTTTCAAAAGTAAAACAATATGCAGTATCAGACATAGCATCAAAAGCAAAAATTTTAAACCTAAATAAAAAAGAAATACCACATGGAATCAAGTTCCTTAAATTAGCTCAATACACATTATAAAAGAAATAAAGGAAGCTATTTGTAATAATTTATAATATAAGAATAAAGTAAACCTAATATTGCTGAAGTTATTAAGGAGAAATAGGAGGTATCAAAATACAATATTTGAATAGAAGAAAACTGTAAGATGAAAAAAATCACAATGGATACACTGAAAAGTATAAGAAAATTAGAAAGCTAAAATAATATCTCAAGTTCTAGGTAAAGGACCAGAAATTGAACAGATGACAGAAAATCTAACCAGTATATGGAGAATGGAATTATTAAAACTAAATAGATACTAGGAGTCTCAGAGGGAGAGCAAAAGAAAACTAAAAGGAAGAGAATATTTTAAGAGATAACAGACACATTTTGCTGCATTACTTCTTATTGAGGTGAGTTGGTTTCTAACACTATGTATCATTTACAGGAACAGGTTCATCCCTCTTCAGGTGTATGTTACTGTACACCACCAAGGCACCTAGAATCCTCCACCACAGTTCACTGGGCTCCCTCCACATTTTGCTCCCCACTTCCCAATATCTCCCTCTGGTAGCTTAAATTACACAAATTTCTAGTTATATCAGTTCCTTTGTTTCATTTCTCTTATTTCACATATATGTGAAATAATCTGGTATTTGTCTTTCTACTTCTAACTTATTTCACTAAGCATAATCCCCTCTAACTCCATCTATGTTGTAAATAGCAAGATTTCAACTTGTTTTTTTTTTAAATAAGAGAACAGTATTGCATTTTTATATATGCTATGTCTTCCTTATCTACTAATCTGTTCTAAGGCACTTAGGTTGTTTCTATAATTTAGTTATAGTAAATAGTGCAGCAATGAACATAGGTATGCATAAATCCCTTTGATTTAGTGTTTTTGAAATTTTCAGGTAGTTACCTAGGAATAGGAGTGCTGGACCATATGGTAGATCTACTTACAATCTTTTGAGAAACCTCCATAGTATTTTCCATAAGGACTAGACCACTCCATATCCCACCAACAGTATACAAGGGCTCCTTTTTCTCAACACCCTTGTCAAAACTTTTTTTCTGAACTTTTTGATAATGGTCATTCTCTTATGAGTGAGGTGGCATCTCACTGTGGTTTTGATTTGCATCTCCCTGATGATAAATAATGATGAGCAATTTTTCATGTGCCTATGAAACTTTCTATTTAGTTTTTGCCCATTTTGATTGGGTTATTTATGTTCTTGTTGGTAAGTTGTATGGGTTCCTTGCAGATCCTGGATATTAGCTTCTTATCAGATGTATGATATGCAAATATTTTCTCGCATTCAGTAGGGTACTTTTGTCTTAATTTATTTTGTTGTGCAGTTGCTATAGTTTTCATTGCCATTAGCATCAAGTCACCAAAAAATCCCTAAAACTGAATGTCATGGAGTATTTTGCATATCTTTCCTTCTATGTATTTTATGGTTTCTGGTATCACATCTAAATCTTTAATCCATTTTGAGTTAATCTTTCTGTATGGTATGAGTAATCTTTTGCACATGATTATCCAATCTTCCTAACACCATTTGTTGGAGACTTTTCTTTATCCATTGTATACCCTCAGCTGCTTTGTTGTAGATAAACTGTCCAGATAAGTGTAGGCTTAACTTTGGGGACAAGCAGGTGGCTCCACCTTATCACAGAGCACTTCCTAATTGTTCTTCCAAAAACTATTTTAAGTGAAAGGATTTCATAATTATAGTAAATTAGATTTTTAAAGATATCAATTTTTCCCCATACTATCATGAAATGGCAACACCTGGATGCCTACTTTTATTGGTTCTATTTAACATACTTTTGGAAAATCTAACCAGAATAATTAGGCAAGAAAAAGAAGCAAAAGTCAATCAAACTGGAAAATATTAAGTACAAAGAACTTTGTGGATGACATCATATATTTAGAAAACCTTCAGGTCACACATACATATAAATATTCATTTATAACTATTAGAACTAATAAGTGTTCAGCTAACTTGCAGGGTATAAAATCAAATGCAAAAGT